GCAATTCGTAAATTGTTTTTGGCATAAAAAGCCGTCCAACTCCCCAATTCACTCTTATGCATCCCAGTCCATTTCATTTAACTTTTGCATAAAAATCCAATCTTGTTGCATCAACGGTCTTGTTTCCTTGTGTAAATCTTTTTGCTACAGTGACCGAACTCATCAAATGACCGGACTTGATTTTTGAAATTCAAAAGCATTGAAGACCGAAATTGTTGCTGCATAGTTGAAAATCACTTTGAATGGGCTTGATTTTGAAGTCTCCATGGGCCGGATTTCTTCTCAAATAAATTGCATTTTTTTCAAATGCATAGGACCTGCTCCTTGCTTTGAAGTTGATTGCTGGACAATCTGCTGCAGTCTTCATTTGGGCCGAAAAAATCAAAATGAAGATGGGCCAAAGAAAATCAAAGAATGAGCTTTGTTTCTTTCATCAAATGTGAACTTGTGCTGCAGCTCTTGGTTTTATTAAATCAAATGAGGAAATCATTTCAATGGGCCGGACTGGATTTGTGAAATTATTGTGGGCTGCCGAAAAATTGATTTGATTTTCTTTTGAAAATCAAAAAATCATGATGGGCTAAGGAAAACCAAAAGCAAATTCAAAGGTGGAGATTGTTACTTGGAGCTCAAGACAAATCCAAGGGCTCATATCATTGAAGATTACTATAAATAGGGGTAGAGAGTGAGAGGTTAAGGGTGTGAAAATTTTGTAAACTCCTTTGGAGAGGAGGGCTACTCTTAATTGAGAAAGGCTTCCAAAAATTGTAACTTTAGTTGCAATTAATAATTAATAATTTTTTCCTCTTTAAATTTGTTCTTTTCCTCTTTGTGGAATGATGAGGATTGGATAGAAAGAGCAATTTGAAGGGTTTGCATTTTTTTCTCTTTCTTTGTGTAATTTCTTTATTATTGCTATTAGTTTAGATTTAAATTCATGCTTGTAGTGTAGATTTATTTTTTGTCTTTTTATTTTCTTTTGCACTTTAATTTGTTAGAGTAGATTTATTTTTCTTGCATTTAATATTTGCAATTTATTTTTGTAGCTTAGATTTTTATTTTTCTTTGTAATTAGATTATTTCTTGTTCAATAGTTTAGATTTTTCTCTTTTATTTTGTAATTAGTTCTTTTTCTTGTTTTTATTTCTTAAAGATGTGAATTTAATTCTTGTAGGAAGTTACAATTATATGAAACTAATCTAATTTCCTTTATATTGTATGAATTTTTCTCTGTACTTAAAATGTTCATGTTTAGGATAATCAACTAGAGAACTAATCGGGTAGAAGAAGAATTTGATAAATCTATGTATCTTAAATGGTTTGATAGGTTATGCTTATGAATTTTCTAGGATTATTATCATGTATGTTATTCTTTATCATGAATAGTAATTTTAGCTTAGATGATAATTTGATAGTTACACTTTCCTTAGATGGTTTGATAATCTATGCTTAAGTAAATCTAAGTTGAAAAATATGATAAAAAGAGAATAGTTTATATTTTGTAATTGAAATTGCCGTTAATGGATTATATTTCTAGATTTCTTACTCTTTTGAATCATCCATCTTAACTTTCTTAAATTTTCTTTTACTTCTTTAGTTTTATTTCTTGATTTATAATTCATATTTCTTGCCTCGTGATTTCATTTATTCTTTGATTCTTCCTTCTCTCCTCTAAAATTCAAATTTATTATCTTTTGCATATTTTCATAACAATCACTCAAAACAAAATCACATTCACACTTATTCCTTTTCCTAATTGTCATGCACAAAATATAAGAACCAAGTTTAATAATCTCTTAAAATCACCTCTTCGTGGGATCGATATCTTTTTATTACTATAACTTGATAATTGTTCACTTGCAATTTGGTACCATAATTATGCCGCATCAAGTTTTTGGCGCGTGTGCCGGGGAAGTGCTAAAATAGATTTTATTAACTTGATTCTTTAACTTGTGTATTTTTCTTGTGAAGGAACCGCTTGGAGCTTGAAAATCTTGGATTGAAGATCAAGAATTTGGAGCATTGCTTTCGGGTAAGTCTTCTTTCTAGTTTTCAATTCCACCCTCTTTAGCTAGCTTCACAATTAGAGACAATTAGGATTTTAAAAAAACAAAAGATTTTATTTTTTTGACCATAATAAAATCCATCTTTCACTTAGATATTAACTAACAAGATAATAAATTCAAACATGATCATCTTCTCACATTTGATTGTTGTTGACCATAATTAAAAAAAAAAAAGATTTTCTTTTTATCATCTCTTTTTAGTCGCTTTAATTTCTAGGGTTGCATTTCATATAGTGTAGGAATTCACCAAAGTGATTGTAGCACTTGATTTGGCACACACTAAAACATTCTTAAGGGCAAAACCCCAATCAAGATAAGGTAAGGGATTTCATCACCCTTTCCTTGGTCCACAAATCACTAATTCCTCAATTCACAAAACCCAAGCTCTTCTTAAAACTCATAGACGTTGGCCCTAAGGATTCGAGCTCAATAAGGAACAAGAATTCCTTAAGTGAACGGTTTAAGTTTTCTCAGAATAGTTGGTGTCTAAGGCAACTGTTTAGGGGTTGCGTAAAGCGCTCCGCAAGAAAGAGGTACTTAATTGATCTTTGTCACCCTATAGTAACTATCTTACCTAGCTAACTATCTGGGTAAAACTTTTTGATCTTTCACGGTTAGAATTTTTGGTTAGGAGCTGGTCTAGAGATATGGAGTTAGGCTAAACCCTTAGAGTGTAGAGTTGATTGAACAAGTGATTGCCTGATTTGTTAGGATTTTTCTTATTCTTTTCATAAAAAAAAAACTAATTTCTTCTTCTTTCTCTTTAAAAAAAAAATTCTTCCTTAAAAAAAAAACTAATTTTCTTTATAAAAAAAAAAAAATTTCTGTTTTGGGCTGGTATTGCAAATTTGGGTTCGGGATAATTTTTCGATCGCTTATATCCGTGGTTGAACCAATCCAAGAAATGGCAAAATCAGCCCGTTTTCAGGATATGTATTAACCCCACCAGAAAGTGCAATGCCATCCTTCGCATAAGACTCCCCAAAGAAGGTGTAGGTAATGGAAGCAAATTTTGAGCTAGACCCGCATTTCCATTATTTATGCTTCCCAAATTCCTACGCAATGAAACAGAAGATGCATATATATTATATCTCGGAATTTGAGGGTATGATTATGATTTTTATAAAATTGAGAATATTAACGAAGATCGCGATTAAGCTTAGATTTTTCCATTTGTCTTAAAAGGACAAAAGCTAGAAAAACATGGCTGTTGTATAGCTTAGAACATAATTCCATCTTCAACTTGGAGGGAATTTGTCACCTGTTTCTCAAGAATTTTCCCTATTCACAAAACGGTATAAGCTTAGGAACAGCATTCAAAATTTTAAAATTGTCCGCGGGAGCCATTCTGGAAAATACTCTTTGGACCG